CCTTTGACATCTGTTTCCTTGTTGCTCTTCTTTCTAGATGTTCTGTCCAATACAAACGTGTTGTACTGAAGTCTCCAAATACTATTGTAGTGCTCTCTATTTCTCCTTTCAATTCTGTGTTTGCTTTATATATTTAGGGGCTCCAGTTGACATTTTTATCACTATATAATGTCCATCTTTACCTCTTGTGATAGATTTTTTACTTTAAGGTGTGTTTTGTCTGATACAAGATTACTACCCCAGCTCTCTTTTGGTTTTTATTTGTGTGGAATATTTTTTTCTGTTCTTTCACTTTCAACCTATTTGTGTCTTTGGGTCTCTTGTAAACATCATACAGTTGGATCTTTTTTCCCCCATTTTGCTACTCTCTACCTTTCATTGGAACATTTAGACAATTTATATTCACTGTAATTCCTGATAAGAAGTGACTTACTTCTGCCATTTTTAATTTGGTTTTTGTGTGTCTTACGCTTTCTTTGCCTGTGACCTTCAGTAGTGCTTGGTTTTGTGGGGTTTTTTTTTTTTTTTTTTAGTTTATTGTAGTGAACCTTTTTGGTTCTCTTCTCCTTTCCTTTTATGTATGATTTTTATATATTTTCTTAGTGGTTACCTTGAATATTACATTTAAGAGCATGTATTTCTAACATTCTAAGGTAAGCTGGTACCACCTTAACTTCAGTAACATAAAAGAAATTCTGTATCTAAATTTTCCTCTCTTCCTCCTTTTGTTGTTGCTATCTCTAATTATGTTTGTATTTCATTTGTGCTATAACGAAACTTTGTCCTTGCCTTTTTATATATTGGTTATTAAAAAACACAAAGGACACAGTATTTGGAATTACTAAGCATGTACACCTTATTACTAGTCCTTTTATATGTGCATACATTTCCCTTTGTTAGGAATCCTTCTTTTTGTGTATAGCTTCGAATTACTTTTTAGTATCTTTTCCCTTCCATCTACAGAACTCTCATGAGTACATTTTGTAGGGCTGGTCTGCTGGATATGAATGAACTCTTTTCTGAGAATGTTTGAATCTCACCTTCATTTTTGAAGAATAGTTTCACTGGGTTTAGTATTCTTGGTAGACGGTTGTTTTTTTTGTTTTTGTTTTTGTTTTTGTTTTTAACTTAATTTCAGCACTTTAAATATATCATTCTATTGCCCGTGGTTCCAGTGTTTCTGAGGAAAAGTTGGCATTTAATCTAATTGGGGATCTTTTGTATGTGACTGTTTGCTTCTCTCTCATTGCTTTCAGTATTCTTTATCTTTAATTTTGAGAGCCAAACATGATGTGTCTTGGTGTAGATCTCCTTAGGTTTATCTTGCTTGGGGGTTCTTTGAGCTTCTTGGATTTGTAGATTCATGTCCTTCATAGATTGGGGAAATTTTCTGTCATTATTTCTTCAGATATTCTTTCTATCCCCTTTCTTTCTCTCATCTTCTGGAATTCCCATGATGCATGTAGTAGGTCTCTTGTTGTTGTCTAATAATTAAACTGTGGTCAGCCTTCTTGAGTCTCCATTTTTTTGTTCTTCAGTGTCTGTACTTTTAACTACCTTATTCTCTAATTTGCTCATTCTTTCTTCTACCTGATTAAATATGTTGGTTAGTCCTTCTGTTGGGTTTTGTGTTTCAGTTGTTGTCCCTCTTAGTTGCAGTATCTCTTTCTAGATTTTCATTTTGGTTTTGCATATTTTTAATTTCTTTTAGCTCTTTGTGTTTTCACTTAGTTAATTATATTTAATGTTGTATTACTTTCCTTTTCCCCCCATTATTTTGTCATCCCTAGATGTGCTTTCACTTCCTTTGTCATACTCGTTTGGTTGGGCCATTTGTCTTTTGTGTCTTTTGATTTTTTGTTAGGGCACTGAAATTTTCATGGGTGTTAACATTCTCATTTTTCTCCAGTATTTCTTGTTTTTGCCTGCATTACTTTCTATCCTTTGCTTACCATTTCCTATCCCTCTCTGTGATAGCTTGTGGTAGTTAAGGTTGTGTGTCAATTTGGCTGGGCCTGATTGAGTGGCTGGGCACCTGGTCATAGTTATTCCCCACGATGAGACTGGTAATCAGCTCCATGGTGGGCTCTACCACAAGCAGCTGAATAGCTGCTTTAGGGATGCAGTCTGCTTCCCATATATAAGCAGCAGCTTTGGGAAAGGACTCTAGCTTAGGCACCCTTGAACCTGTACATAGCCATGTTGTTGTTTAGCAGCCTGCCATGTTCTGCCAACCTTGGGACTTTCAATGGACTTGAATTAATGGCCTACCATGTGGTTTGGTAACATCAGAACTGTGCCTTTTTACTTTTCAACTTTGGGCTTGTCAGCCTCAGCAGCCAGCAGCTGCCTGAGTAAAGAAAAGCCTCTAGCTTCAATGGGCCATGAGCAGGAGGCAGAGCTAAGCCCAAGGTTGAGGGGCCTTCACCCAGCCCCTAGAGCCTGGCACTGTGAACTTGGACTTAAAGCCTCCAAACCATAAGAGAATAAACTCCTGTTTGCTCAAGCATCTCATTTGTGGTATATCCTTATCATAGTGGCACGAGGTAACCTAAACATAGCTCTTTCTCCCTTCTTGGTCTAAATGAAATTTGAGAATTCTAGATCTCATTTTTCAACTTTCAGTCTCTTCCAAACACACCAGAGAACATGCTGTGGTCAGTCTGTCCACCTGTGGGCACCACCACTCAGGTGAGATAACCTGTACTCATCAATCTGTCCACCAAAGGGTGTAATCCTTTCTTCTCCTTTTCTGCAATCACGTTTTTAATTGGAAAACCCACACCCAGCAAGCCCTTTAAGGATATTGCCCTGATTTTGCCTGTGGTTTCCTTCCCTGCTGTGTGGGGGCTGCTTATATCTGAGCTGGCATTCTGGGAACTTTTTTCTGTTTTAGGAGGTAGAAGTGCTAATACTCTCCAGAAGGACCTCTTAGAGATCTGTCACTGGTTTCACATCCCCAGTGGCCCTATAGTGGTTAAGGAGTAAGTCTCCACTTAGGTGATGCACCTCTTGACTTCACTGTAGGGAACTTCTGTAGGAGTTTGTATTATTCCAGCAGCCAACAGGTACTGATTGGGAGACAGGTAGTCACACTCTGAATGGATCCCTAGGATGGTCTGCCTTTGTTGCTATCACAGCCCTCCCTGTGTATGTTGGCTGTGGCTGTATCCTTCATTAAAGATGGCTGCTGCTTAGCACGTAGTAACTTTAGTCAACAGTCCTCAGCACTGACAGGAAGGGGGAGCAGATAGATTGAACTGACTCCCCAGGAGGTCTGTCCTGTTGGTTTCAGAGGCCTGAGCTGTGGGCTGCATAGGGAGGCCCATAGAGTGTTTACTACAGGAGCAGACTCTATTGCACAGGCTTCCTGTAGCATTTTGCAGTAGGCTTGTGGCCGACAGTGTCCAGGTAGGGGAGGCACTGGCCCACTCAAGGTCTGTCTTGTTGCTATCAGAGCTCCCCTGGAATGTATTGGCTGTGTATGTAGCTTCCACTCAAGATGCTTGCTTCCTACCACACAGCAGCCTCAGTCAGTAGTCCTCAGTGCTGACCAGAAAGGGGAGCAGACAGACCAGAATTGACTCCTTGGGAGGAGGGGGTTCTATTGTGTTGGTTTCAGAGACCTGAGCTATGGGGTACACAGAAAGGCAGGTAGTGCATTGACTATGAGCAGATGCCACTGCATGGGGCCTTCTGTAGCAATTCATAGTAGGCTTCCTATGTCTGGGTGGAGGAGGTGCTGGCACATTCCAGACAGACCCCTGGGAAGAAATGCCCTGTTGATTTTAGAGCAGAAGCCTAGGGTCCTATCTCTTTTCATGGGCAGTGGGTATGGTAGTTAAGGAACAGGCTCTTTTTCTGGAGCAACTTCTCCAGTTCACAGCAGCCATTGGCCCATGTGGCTGGGGGAGGGGCAGGGATGGTGGGAGAATCGTTTTTCCCACCATATGACTTGTTATTGATTTGTTGTTTCAGTGGTTTACTGCTGCTTTTCTCTGCTCCTTGATTCAGAGTCCCTCAAAGCCGAACACCAATTCCTTGTATTTCTTGTAGTACTTGTGGGGAAGGATTGGAACGATAATTTGTTTATGCTGCCATATTCCTAGAACCCTTAACTAAAGGAATTTGAACACTCAAATGATAAAAGAATAAGATATTTGAAGATAAAAGGATCCCTGGGCGGGTGCAGACACTTCACACTCTGAGCTGCTTCAGGAAAGGTTGCAAGTTCGAGGCCACCCAGATGTGCCTCTGAAGAAAAGTCTGGGAATCAACTTCCAAAACAACCAGCCACTGAAATGCTATGAAACTCAGTTCTGCTTTGATGCATGGGGGCTTCCCCTGAGTGAGAATCAACTCGCTGGCAATTTTGTTGTTGTTTTAAAGAAAATAGTGACTTGAACCTTAAAATAAGGCAAGACTTCATTGAGTTGAAATGGGCTTGGGGAAGGGGCATCTTGCAAAAACTTGGATGTGGCTTGTGCAAGGCACATCCCAGTGCAAGTTGTTTGGCAGTGTGGGTTACATGAAGGAGAGGCAGGGGGATGGAACGCTGGAAAGACAAACAATTTGGGGCCAAACTGAGGTCATCTTTGAGGGCAAAGCCCAGGAGTTGGTTTCCCCCATGCACCCACCATGAGAGTGTCCCTCCCTAGCTGGTAGAGGCAGCACAGGGGCAGTGGAATGAGCTGGAGGAATAAGGGTGTGTGGCTGGCAAGGATGACCTCAGCATGCTACCAAAGTTTCTGATGGCAGCAGCTGCAGTTCCAGAACTGGGGACAAAGTACCAATAACAAGCTTAAGGCATATTTCCCACCCCCCCACCACCACCACCAATTTGTGCATAAGTAGGAGGGAAGCATGAGTGAAATACATGTATGAATGCTTTGCTCCAGAGACAACTTCTGCATTTTGCAAACAATCCCACTGCCCCACCCCCCTCCTGCCTGCTTGTAAGAGATTTACCACCTGGGCTCTTGACTGTGACATCTTTGCAGTGCAGCAGGGAGGAGGTCGAAGTGTCCCAGCTGAGTGCTCAGCTATTGCAGGATCACCATACCTGAGGCTTCACACCTCCCTCAGTGCTATCCCCATGCTTCTGGTCACCAGACTGGAGACTCTCCCTGGAATTGTCTCTGACATTCCTGTGACCTCATTCTCAACATTCAGGCATTCGAAAGTGGTGAGTACCTTGCAAGGCCCCTCAGGCTTAGAATGCTCAAAGCCTTCACCCGTTTTCTCCATATAGACCCCAAGAGCCATGGCCCTCATTTTCCCATGGCCCTGCTCTACCACCTTACCACTGTGCACCCGGCACGCGGTTGGGGCTGAATGAATTTGCTGTGGAATGAAGACAACCATGCTTCTTCAGTCTGTTGTCTAAAGATATTGGGCCCGAACTAAACAAAATTGTGTGCCTTCCTTATACTTCCAAAGCCACGCATCTTCAGCATACTCTTAATAGTTAACACTTGACTCATTGAACTAATTTCCTAACATGTTGTTAGGTGCCGTCAAGTTGGCTCCAACTCATAGTGACCCTGTGTACAACAGAATGAAACACGGCCCAGGCCTGTGCCAGCTTCATGATCTCTGCTATACCTGAGCCCATCATTGCAGCCACTGTGTCAGTCCATCTCGTTGAGGGACTTCCTCTTTTTTGCTGACCCTCCACTTTACCAAGCATGATATCCTCCTTCAGGGAATGGTCCCTTCTGACAACATGACCAAACAGGTGAGACAAAGTCTGGCCATTCTTGCTTCCCAGCATTCTGGCTGCACTTCTACCAGGATGGACTTCAAATTTCCTAACATAGCCATGGGCGCTCTGGTAGCATAGTGCCTAAGGTATTTGACTGCTAACCAGCCAAACCCACCAGCCACTTCTCAGAAGGAAGGTTGGGCAATGTACTTCCATAGAAATACTACCTCAGAAACCCAAGGAGGGGTCACTATTAGTCGGATCCAACTCCACGGCAGGGTGTTTCGTTTTTTGTGCATAACATAGCCATTGTTTATCATGCCACTTCTATGCTCAATATTCCTTCAGGCTCCTGCCTCCCTGTCCCCACGGCCCCATAACTGACTATGGTCAACATTTCCGCCTTCCAGCTCACTGTCAAGCCTGTCTTCCTCCGTTTCCCTGCCTCAGCCCTCTCCCAGGCCATTCCTTCCTCTCTGATGGCCACCTGCCCATGATTCTGCCTGCTCTCTAACCTAATGATCTTGGCATCTCTCTCTCTCTTTTTTTTAAATTTTTATTGTGATTTGGGTGAAAGTTTACAGAGCAAACTCATTTTTCATACAGCAGTTCATACACACTTTGTCTCATGACATTGACTGTAATTCCCCACAGTGTAACAGCTCTCTTCCCACTTCCTCCCCAGTTACCTCTTTCCCATGCCCTTCCCTGCCACATATTCCCATCCCGACTAGCTGTCTCCCTACGCATACACTGCCCTTCTGTTCTACCACTAGTGATCACTGCAAGGAGTATATCTACCTGATGTAAATGTTCAGCACATATGCTTGTCTATTATTTGGCTGGAAGCCACAGGAATGAGTTCAGTTCCAGACCTGAAGTGTAGCTAGGGGCCATAGTCTCAGAAGGTCTTATCAGGCTTTATAAGACCAGCAAAAACCTAGTCTTTTTTGTATGATTTTGAATTTTGTTCCACATTGTTCTCCCACTCTATCCAGAATCTCCTACACCAACCCCCTTCTGAGTGGTTGACAGTGGTAGCCGGGCACCATCTAGTTCTTCTGGTCTCATGGTCATATAGGCTGAGGATCACATGGTCTTCCAATCCCTTGGACTAACTGCTTCTATGTGTCTTTGGTTTTCTTCATTCTTCTTTTCTCTAGATGAGGAGAGATCCATCATTGCATCTAGATAGCCAGTTGTGTTTTTTTTTTTTTTTTTTTAAATTGTGATGTGGGTGAACATTTACAGAGCAAATTCATTTCCATACAGCAGTTCATATACACTTTGTCTCATGACATTGACCACAATTTACCACAATGCAACAGCTCCCCTCCCACTTCCTCCTGATAGTTACCTCTTCCCTGTGTCCATCCCTCCATGCACTCCTGCTCCCCGAGCTGTCTCCCTGTGCATAAACAGCCCTTCTTTCTCCCAAGATTGTTCTCTCCAAGGAGTGTATCTCCCTAAATGTAAATGTTCAACTCATATGCCTGTCTTTTGTTTGGCTGGAAGCCACAGGTATGGGTTCAATTCCAGACCTGAAGGGCTGTTAGGGGTCATAGTCTCAGTGGTTCCACCAGGCTCTATGAGACCAGAAAACCTGGTCCCCCCCCCTTTTTTTTCCCCAAATGATTTTGAGTTTTGTTCCACATTGTTCTCCCTCTCTATCCAGGATCTCCTACATCGATCCCCCTCCAAGTGGTTAACAGTGGTAGCTGGGCACCATCTAGTTTTTCTGATCTCATAGTCGTATAGGCTGTGGATCACATGGACTAATTATTTCCATGAATCTTTGATTTTCTTCATCCTTCTTTGCTCTGGACAAGGAGAGACCCATCATTGTATCTAGATGGCTGCTTGCAAGCTTCTGAGATCCCAGACGCTACTCAGCAAAGTAGGAGGTGGAACAATGTTTTGTGTAGTATGTTATGCAAATTGAGCTTGATATGTCCCCTGTGACTATGGTCCCGAGCCCACAGGTTCAACTACCCAGTTCCTCTGGGTAGCTGGCTGTGACCAAGAAGTGATTACAACCTTGTCCTTTGTCAACTCTACTATACACTTAGGAATTCTTACAGATCATACAAATAAGTTGCAAGCTTTTAAGACTCCAGTCACTACTCACTAAAGTAGGATGTAGAACAGTGTTTTTGTGTAGTATGTTATGCCAATTGAGCTTGATTTCCCCTACGACCATGGTCCCGAGCTCACAGGTCCAACTACTACTATCCTACTAGTAGTACTACTACTACCCTCTGAGTAGCTAGCTATGGCCAAGAAGTGGCTACAGCCTTGTCCCTTTTCAGCTCTACTGTATATCTGGACAATCTTATATTGCATGCAGATATGCTTGTAGAAACATTGTCTGCCAACCCTGTACATGGTCATGAGCACACTACCCCCTGCCTAGACATACCTGATCATTCAGTCTCAGCATATCCCTTAAGTGATCATCTCTTAGCTTTGTGAGTCATGAACAATGAGGATTTACAAGACAATGTGTCTGTGCAGGTTTTCTTCCAGGGGGATGTAAAACTTGTACACAGATGCTGATGCCCTTCCTCGTCCCACTCTCTCTGGCTGCAGCCCTTCCATTGCCTGGTGCCCCTTCAGTGTGGACCCTGGTGATGGAGAGTATGCCTTTGAGGCATGAGGTGTGGAGCAATCCTAACACAGCTCATCCTGGTTTCACTCGGAGCATGGGCTCTTGGTGGACCTGCAGTAGAAGGAGGCTTTTTCGTGTCCTTCCCAGTCACGTTGCAAGTCTGCAGAGGTGTGTCTGCTGCTAGAGAGGCTGGAAGGGGAGAGTCATGCCTGTGACCCCCAAGAGTTTAGTGCCCTAAAACACAGCTCCAGAGTAAAGGAAAATAGATTGCTAAGAGGGTTAGACATGGAGGGCAAGAAGTGGGCACTTGGGATCACGGCCATCCCAGGAGACGTAGAATTCTGCAAGGTGCTCTCAGGGCGGTCTCTCTCACTCACCACCCTGTGTTCCCATAATGGCCAGAGCAGGTGGCCTCCTGGCTTTGTTTTGGGGTGGGTGGTGGATGGGGGTCAGAGGGCAAAGTCCCACCTGAGATGGCTCTGGTTGCCTCTCAGGGAGCCATCCATCCTGGTCCCACTGAGACTGCATCTGTACACAGACACTGATGCATCTGTGTATAAGTTTTACATCCCCCTGGAAGAAAACCTGCACAGACACATTGTCTTGTAAATCCTCATTGTTCATGACTCACAAAGCTAAGAGATGGTCACTTAAGAGACATGCTAAGACTGAATGATCAGGTATGTCTAGGCAGGGGGCAGTGTGCCCTGGGCTGCCAGCTGTATGGTAGGTGCTGACACTTGGTTCTTGGCATCTGACTAGAATAGGGAGACCTGGAGGAGGAGACTAATACTTAAGATATGGTTTCCTTCTAAAACACTCCCACCTGGCCAGCCCTGCAGTCCCCAGTGTAACTGCAGACCCTGACAGGTGGAGGAACACAGGCTCACCTGACGGCTTTGGGACAGGTGCTGCGCGACTGCCTTTTCTCAAGGGTGTGATGCTGCTGGTGGTTCTGTGTCAGCCCACACTGCCCTCCAGGGCACAGGGCAGGGCAGCACCGTCTGCTGAGCTCACTGGTGGCTGCCTGGGCCAGGCATGGTCCCTGTCCAGAAACCTGGCCGGCTCTTCCTGTGTCTGGGGAACCAGAGGGGCTGAGGGAAGGTGGCTCTGAGGCCTCTGGGACACTATATGCTCTCAGGAGTGAATGGTCACATTAGTGCCCATGTAGGCTGTTAAAAGTTACTTTTATAATTGTGGCAGACTCTGGAAAGTAGTTTTATGGAAAAATGGCTCAAGGAAGTGATAGCTCTGGCGGCTATCTCCACCAGGTAAGACACAGTGAAGTTACCGGCCCCTCTGCTTAGACTGTGGGGAAGGGTCAGACAGCCCCTCCCTGCCCTATTCACTGGGTGATCTCGGCAGGCAATCGCTCCACGTGGTGTAGGTTCTGGAAGGAAAAGTCCAGGTGCCATCTTTGCCCAATGTGTGATGTGCCCAGCTGTCCACAGCACGCACTAAACTCTCTTATCTCCCTGTGCAGAATCTCCTATGACCCCACCAGATACCCCAAGTACCTGCCCGAGGCCTACTGCCTGTGTCGGGGCTGCCTGACGGGGTCCTTCGGCGAGGAGGACCTGCGCTTCCGCAGTGTCCCGGTGCTCATGCCCACTGTGGTCCTGCGCCGCACTGCCGGCTGCGCGGGTGGCCGCTACCTGTACGCCGAGGACTACGTCGCGGTGGCGGTGGGCTGCACCTGCGTCCCTGAGCAGGGGAAGGATGCCGCGGAGAGCGCCAACTCCAGCATGGACAAGCAGGCGGGGAAGCTGCTGCGGAGCGTCCACGACCAGCCCGACCAGCCCGCCGTCCCCTAAGGGCCTCTGGGCCTGGGTCCTGCCATAGTCCTCCCTCTGCAGAGCGCTTTTAGGGGAGGCCAAAGAGGGAAGAGAACGAACCGAGGCAGTACACAAACCCCACCCAACTGCAGAGGCCTCGCCTTCTAGACTAGCTCGCTGGCTAATCCGACACCGGCAGCCCCAGTTTTTTTTTAAGTGAAAGTTCAGAGTTGTTGAAAAAGATTTGAACTTAACTTGGTGCACCTGGGCCCAGGGCCGACTCCGCAGTGATGAGCACCTGGATTTGGAAAAGCTGATTAACGCCCTTCCAGGCTGCAGACTGCTGCTGCGTCCAGCTGCAGGAGGCCCACTGCTAGGGTGCTCACAGAGGGTCCCGAACTCTGTCCTTACCAGGAGGTGACATGGGACCTTTCTCATCTAGTACAGCAGAGTAAAGAGAGATTTATGCTTTCAGGTACAACGCACACACACGCACACAACTTTTAAATAAAATAGTAAAAATAGATAACAACTTTTTCTATTCAACTGTTTTAAATAGGGGTGGAAACTATTTTTATATTAGCAATTAAGAGCAACTATATTAAAATGTTTTCCTTGACATATGAACATTCTGTAAACATTGTTTTCACTTACTCTGATAGGATGTTTTTTGAAAGTAATTAGAATCTTCAGATAAATTCTTTTTAGCTGGAACTGTGGCCTCATGCTGTGCAATTCATTCTGTAGCAGGTTGCTGGCAGTAAGGAAATGGACACATCTTGATTTTGACCAAATCTACCTTCCAGTGTTAACTGAACAGAAGGCTAATAGGCTAAGAATTCCAGACATTGTGAATGTGAACATGGCTTTTTCATGAGTATATAAATGGACTTAACAATCAAAAGAAAAAAATTTTCTTTCTCACTTTTGAAAGCTGGTGGGGCTGACTTATGGATATTTATAATACTGGGTTCAGACTTCACATGCCTCCTGAGCCTAGCACCTGAATGAAGCAAGCAGAGGGGGACTGCGCCAACTTCATCAGTGCTCAGGAAGAACTAGTGTTGGCTCCATGGCAAGGGCTTCGGGACTAGCCACGCAGGAGAAAATGAGCCAAATTAGAATTTCCAGAGATCAGTACTTTTTCTAAGTATTGCAATATGAACCAATTCCTTACTCTTTTCTTTAGGTTGAAAGTCTGTCCATGAACACAACTATTTGTAAAACTTAGGACTTTTTCAATCATTAAAACCATTCAGGTGGCAGGTGCACATTTCTTTCTGGAGTCTGCGTAGATGGGTTGGGCTGGGCTGAGCTTTCAAGAAGCAATGTTATTAAAGGTCTTTATCTTCATTTTGTGGCTGACCTTTTATTTGGACTTAAAAAGATGAACAAGTCATGTAAAGTCAATAGCTGGACAGAGTTGATCTTTTGTGACACCCCTGACCAGGATCTGCACTTCACCCCAGCCTCAGCTGTCCTAATCGTCACAGAGAGGTAGCTTCACTGAGTCACCACCTTCAGCCTTAATCTGGACAGAAGGGTCAGTGAGAGTCCTTCCAACTTGTATTAAATATTGGCAGAAGATGTGTGTGAAAAACACATCACTGGGCAAAATCTAGGTTTTCCATATAAAAAATCCAAGACAGAAAGGGACAGCTGTTGAGAGTTCTATACAGTTTGGGAAATTTTACTTTCCCCGTTTAGCCCCTGGGAAAACAAAAGAAATAAACCTGATCCCTTGTGGTGGTGTATCTAGAATAAATTGTCCAGAAAAGGGATGGTTCAGAGCAACCTTTTGTTGCCAGTTCAGTATAGCAACAAAAAAATTCGATAGATGACAAAGAAAAATTGCCTTCCAGACCAGCCATGTGGCCAGTTGTTTTGATCATGCCATCATCTTGTTCCCTGTTGTGCAACATTTTCCAGCCACTCATAAATCATGCAAACATCACAGCAGGGTAAATGAAGCAGAGCAAACAACTTGCATGAGGGATATACCACTATTTTATTGTGTTCAGTATCATTTAACTAAATCAGCTTGTTAAAAGGCAGCACATTCAGGATGGAAGAAATTAACCTATTGTAAGTGCCTAGGCATATAACTGCTAACACAAGGTTGGTGGTTCAAACCCACCAGCCACTCCACTGTATGGAACAACAATGAGGCAATCTATTTCCATAAAGATATACTTACTGCCTTAGAAACCCAATGGGGTCATTATGAGTTGGAATCAATTCAATGGCAGTGGGTTTGGTTTGGTTTATTCTAAGATCTACAAAACCAAACCAAACCAAACTCACTGCCATCAAGTTGATTCCGACCTATTGTGACTCTCATTGAGTTTCCAAGGCTGTATATCTTTATGGAAGCAGACTGCCTCATCTTTCTTCTGCAGAGCAGCTGGTGGGTTCAAACCACCAACCTTTTGGTTAGCAGCTAAATGCCTTAACCACTATACCACCACAGCACCTTAATATAAAGGCAACCTTTATAGTTTTCTCTGAATGAGATATTCACCCATTTCATTATTTAATTTATTGCACCCTTGCTCTGTTCTACTCACTGAGCTCTTGGGAGACAATCATGAACAAGATACACTCTCTGTCCTTAACTAACGTGAGTGACACACATTAGCTGTAAAGCCGAACTAGGTTAGAATGTACCAGCTCATAGATCTGAATTACTGTTGCATTGAGCTCAAGTTTACTCACCTATAAAGTGAGCTATTCTCATTTATGAAGCACCTAGCACAGTGTCTGGCACACAGTTGTTGTTGTTAGGTGCTATCAAGTTGGGTCTGACTCATAGTGACCCCATGTACAACAGAATGAAACACTGCCCAGTCCTATGCCAGCCTCACAATCCTTGCTATACCTGAGCCCATTGTTGCAGATACTGTGTCAGTCCATCTCATTGAGGGCCTTCCTCTTTTTCACTGACCCTCCACTTTACCAAGCATGACTATTGTTATTCAGAGAATGGTTCCTAATGACAACATGACCAAAGTAGCGAGATGAAGTCTGGCAATTCTCGCTTCCAAGGAGTGTTCTGGCTACACTTCCTCCAGGGCAGATATGTTTGTACTGGCAGTCCACGGTAAAGACTGAAGTTGTCAAAGATTTCATATTACATGGATCCACCATCAACAGCCACAGCAGCAGCAGTTAAGAAATCAGATGATGTGCTGCACTGGGCAAATCTGCTACAAAAGACCTCTTTAAAGTGCTGAAGAGCAAAGATGTCTCTTTGGAGACTAAGGTGCGCCTAACACAAGCCATGGTGTTTTCAGTCACCTCATATGCCTATGAAAGCAAGACAATGAATAGGGAAGACTGAAGAAGAGTGGATGCTTTTGAATTGTCGTGTTGGCAAAGAATACTCCAAGTCCCATGGACTGCCAGAAAAACTGTAACACAATAGGTGTTAAAAAAAAAAAAAATTGGCCCCAATGATTTATAAGCCAAAATATCAAACTATTTTACCTTCCTGCTATGTTTATTACTTTAGTAGACACAAAGCCAAACCCACCAAACTCATTGCTATGGAGCTGGTTTTTGTGTAAAAGATTAAATGAAATCTGTAGAACTTTCTCTAGCAGCAGTGATGAGAAGCAGTATGATGAAATTAGAGAGTAGTGATTAGTGATTAAGTATGGGGAGATAGTTTAGTAAGTTAACGATTTTTTTTTCCTTATTAAAACTATTAAGAGTCTTATTAAAACTATTAAGGATTGATTCTGACTCATAGCGACTTTCCCCGTTTAGCCCCTGGGAAAACAAAAGAAATGTGAATGTGAACATGGCTTTTTCATGAGTATATAAATGGACTTAACAATCAAAAGAAAAAAAATTTCTTTCTCACTTTTGAAAGCTGGTGGGGCTGACTTATGGATATTTATAATACTGGGTTCAGACTTTCCAAGATGGTAAATCTTTATGGAAGTAGATTGTCTCATCTTTCTTCTGTGGAGCAGCTGGTGGGTTTGAACCACCAACCTTCTGGGTAACAATCAGATGCCTCAGGCACTAAGCCACCAGAGCTCCTGTTCTTAAAACTAAAGTTTTGGTGGAGGAGTTGGTGGTATATTCCATCAAACAAATACCAAAATCTATGGGCTACATAGTCACAGTTCAATAAAATCTTTTTTTCTTTTTCCCTGCTCTCAACAGCTTGCTTATTATTTCACACAGTTCACATAGCTCCATCTCATTTATGCTGGCACTATAAATTGGGCTGTGGGGGACAGAAATACTTTATTCCTGTACATTTTTCAGCTGCTTCTTCACCTACCCAAAAAGTGCCACAGGGTAGATAAGATGCTTCCTTCAAACTCAGAGTCTATCATGAGGATATCATGATAGATTTCAAGGTATCCTTGAACAGAGATACCTTGCTGGTCATTGAACATTGTTTCCAACCAGCTGACACAGTATTTCTATTGCATGTGTGGTTTAGAGAAATGTGATCCTTTGGCAACAGCACTCAAAAAGCCTTCTGCAAATGCCAGTGGCTCCATATTCAGGGGCCAGTTTCTCAAACTCCTCATTTTACTGCATCTCTTTTAGCAGGGCAGAGGAAAAACAATGGCCAATTGTAGGAATGGCTCCAGCTCTGATTTTAAGAAAAAGCATAAAGTTCTCTTCTAAAATGGGGTCCCTAAGCTACTCTTGCATTTCATTTGTTCTTGTTGCCCAAGCACCTCGTTACCCTCAAATACACAGCAGAGTAGTTCGTGGAAATATGTTAGCAAAACTTATCCTTGTCCTCCCCACTTGTGTATGGCTATTTTGTCTCTCATTGCAAATCTCTGAATCAGGACGGACTTCTAATGATGCCCATTAAATATTCTTTTTCATTCCTGAACATCTTTGGTGAGATGGAAGAGAGGGGTTGCCTCCTGGAAGTCCACCTCATCTTCCTTGTAGCCTTCAGCACCTCCTGGGCGGTGTCACACTCAGCCTTCTGCATCCCTCATCTTGTTGCCAGGTGCCAGCTTTGGGTTCAGCGTCATTAGAGACACAGTCAAATGAAGGTCCCAAGGAACACACCAGACACAATGGTCTTTTCAAAGGTCCCAGCGGTATAGCCATAGATCTTTTATGAAAGCCAGAAGCGGATCACATATGAACACAGATTTGCTACAATTGAAGCCACAAAAGGGGTCCAAGGCAATAAAACATGTTGGCTGCTTATTAAACAAATCTGTAATTACCTCATTTTGTAAGGCTCATAACTTAAGACCCGTGTAAATTTTTAATACAAGTCCAACTTCCAACTGCATCCATTCATTCCCTCACACACACACCCCACACACACACACCATGGAAAAACGTTTCTTCATCTAAAGGCTAGATTTATAAGACAGCTAAAATTCTGTTACCTGTAGACTGCTATTCACCCAGAATTCCAAAATTAAACACTACATTTCTCTACGTAATCTGTCACTAAAGTGTGATAGTACCCCAGGCAATTTTTAGCAAATTGGTTCATAAGGAAATAATAAAGTGGGGTATTTTATTTTAAAAAAATAAATAAATAACATTTATTGAATATGTAACATGCCAGGTGCTGATACACTGTGATTGGTGCTAGGTATGCTGATAAAAATAATAATGCCTCATAAAAACACAGAGTGATTTTGAAAGTAAATTACCTAACAGTTACCTAACGACGGAAGACAACTGACATCTGAGACATAACAGTAGAGGATAAACATAACTAGAGGATAAACCTGGGCAACCATAACCAGTGTTCAAGAGTGGTGTTGGTCCGACGGATGTCCCTCCCTCTCTGCAGCCCTCGACATTGATCCCACAATCTCTTTCAACCACAGGTTTCTTTGCACCTCCGCCACAGGGTGGCTGTGGCTCTGCTCCAGGACCGGGACAGCCACAACAGCCTGTCTGGAAGCAGGCTGCTCACTGGGCCAGAGAGAAGGTGCAGCTCAGGCTGAAGTGATCACCACGTCCTTTCTCATTTTGTCTGCCAGAGCAAGACCCAGACATAGGAAGTATAATCCTTTCCCAGAGACAGGGTGTGACTTTTTAGCTTTTTATCTTGAAACTGTTGTAGAGTTGCAGGAAACCGCAGAATATTAGAGAGTTCTTGTGTACCCTCTTTCCAAACCCCTCAGTGGTAACATGTTACGTAACTATAGTGTAATGTCATAGCCAGGAACTTGACACTGATAACTATAGGCCTTACACAGATCTCACCAAACCAAAACCAAACGCACTGCCATTGAGTCAATTCTGACTCAAAGTGATTCCCATTGGGTTTCCAAAGCTATAAATCTTTATGGAAGCAGACTGCCTATCTTTCTTTCGCAGAGTGGCTGGTGGGTTTGAACCAGTGACCTTTTGGTGCAGCCAAATGCTGTAACCACCACACCACCAAAGCTGATATACATGGAATCATGCAGCATGTGACCTTTTGAGGTTGGCTTTCCCACCCAGCATAATGCGCTGAGACCCATCTGAGCTGTTGCGTGTAGCCATGGTCTGCTCCCGCTGACTGCTGAGCAGGAGGCCATGGTGTGGATGTAGGATTACTATCACACTGCCCAGCCCCTTTGTGTAATGGTGTTGGTGACAGAGGGAGCTTTCATCTTCTTGGAAGCTCAGAGTTTCTGGTGTGGCTGGAGTTGAGGACAATGAGGCTAGGCATGACAGAGGGCCCTGGGATATGTCCCTGTGACCATCACTCCTGACACTCTTCCTAGAATTATTTCTTGGTGGCAGTGAGCCATGTCTTCTTGGGGAAAGCACCAGCTACTCCCCAGGTGGTCAGAACTAGCCATTTAAGGCACCGTACTGTCGAGGCCAAGGCCAGGGTCTGGCCTAATTCAGGAGGTCTTTGTCAAGTCGATGTTTCTCTTTTGTACACATGGAAAGTGAGGAGGCAGGATTAGACGAGCTCTAAAAGTTCTGCTGACTATAATTACACAAGGGGCTCTGGTGGCATGGTGCATACTGCTAACCAGAGGGTCAGCAGTTCAAGCCCACCAACCATTCTGTGGGATGAAGATAAGGCCATCTACTTCGGTAAAAATTTAGTCTTAGAATCGCAATGGGGATCACTATGAGTTGGAATTGACTCAATGGCACTGGGTTTGGGTTTGGTATAATTCCATGGATTTGGTTTGGCAAATGAACCCCAAGCTCTAGAGGCACCCTCAATAAAGAAACAATATTGAGGCATTATGTTCTTTATTTTGAAAAGTTAGGCCAGGGGTAGCCCAGTTTGGGCAGTAAGTTATAACTTTTCAGTCTACTGAGGAAAAAGAATATATAGAGAGCTGTCTCAGTAGTTAGATTTCACAGTCAAGCCCAGAATCATAATTGACGTAACAGCGAAACTCATTGGCCAGATTTCGGGTGTGTTTTGGAATGAATTTGCACATCCTCACTCCAAGAAGTTTTGCTGCTGCTTCCTCCATGATGGCACCTGAAGAGAAGAAGCCAGTGAACCTGAAGGTGTGAAATGCCATCAAGAACAGACCAGTCCCATGGTGTGGAGGGCTCTCTCCACTAAAATGATGAAACAATGAGTTGACAGCATTAGCCAACAAGTAAGCGTTCAGGTCAGGGCATGTTCTTCATATTCCTTTTTGCCTTTTCAATATTTTTGCATATTACCTAGTGAGGTAGTTAAGTTCTATGTCACCTTGGCTGAGTCTTGTTTTCAGGGGCTGGGCAGCTAGATATAGTTACTCCCCATGATGAGACTAACAATCAGCTCCACAGTGGACTCTACCAGAGCAGCTGAGTAGCTGCCTTAGGGATGTGGTCTGCTTCCCATCTGTAAGAAGACAGCTTTGGGAAAGCTCTGAGCTTTTTGGCAAGCTTGGACCTTCCATGTAGCCGAGTCATGTTTCTCGCCAATCTTGGGACTGTCTCTGGACTTGAACTAGTGGCCTCCCATGCTGTTTGGTAATCCTGGGACTGTGCCAATTTATTTGGGGTTTGTCAGCTTCAGCAGCCAGCAGCTGTCCGAGTTAGGAGAAGCTTCCAGCTTTAGTGGGACAGGAGCAAGAGGCAGAGCTGAAGCCCAAGGTCGAGGGGCCTTCACCCAGCCCCTAGAGCCTGGCACTTTGAACTCAGACTTCTAGCCTCCTAAATAGAGAATAAATCTTTGTTTGTTCAAGCCACCCACTTGGGGTATATTTTCTGTTAGAGGGGCACTAGAAGACCAAAATACCTAGTTAGGTCTTTATATCCATTTCATGATATGAAATTTAATAATTGTTCAACCTCTGCAAAGCTAAAATGTTTAGAAAGTTAGAAACAGACTGCATTCCACAAAATGACCTAAGAAAAAGACATACCCCCTAGTACTCTCTGTACCAGGACCCCACCTTTTTATTTATTTTATTTTGATTCTTTCATTATACTTACCCGAAGTGGCTAATTATCTCTTAAAACTAAAATGTAAACTCCATAAGGTCAGAGCACTGTAGGCTGGCTGGCACAAAAGGTGTATACAGCGTTGTTTAATTCATAAAGGGCTAAATAAATACTATGAGAGTGGCATTCTTGGCTACATAAGCAATCCCACAATACCACAGGAGAGCAGAGGCCCTGTGCCTGGGTACAGCTGCTTACCTCTTGGTCACAACCCATGAGGGGTGGGGATGGGGAAGGTCACAACCCATGAGGGGTGGGGATGGGGTACTTTCCCAGGGGAGGAGACAGGGCTCTGAGGGACTGGGGACTTGGAACTGGGAATATCACAGATTCCATTGGATGCCTAGAAGTACAACTGGTGGGTGCTTCATTAACACTGTAGTTCTCAAATTTTAGTATACCCCATCTTAGAAAAAATGTACCTTATGAGTAAGGAAACTTTAAAAATCTTTATCTAATTTCTAATGAGCTCTGGTGGTATAGTGGTTAAGGTATTTGCCTTCTAACTCAAAGATTGGTGGTTCAAACCTACCAACCACTCCACAGAAGAAAAATGGGGCAGTCTGCTCCCATAAAGATTTACAACCTTAGAATCCAATGGGAGTCTCTATGAGTCAGAATTGACTTGATGGCAGTGAGTCTGGTTTTTTTTTTTTTTAATAATTTCTAGCTATATAACTGGAGCTCTGGTAGCATAGTGCCTAAGGCACTTGACTGCTAACCAGAAGGCTGGCGGTTCAAATCCACCAACCACTCTTCGGAAGGAAGGTTGGGCAATCCTACTTCCGTAGTGATACTGCCTCGGAAACCCAAGGAGGGGTCACTATGACTCGGGGCCGACTCGACGGCAAATAACAACAACAACAACAGCTATGTAACTATAGGCAATTCACTTCAACTCTCTAGATTCCAAATTTCTCTTTTTATCAAGTGCAGGGATCGGATCAAGTCAAAATAAAATATCAAAAACATGGTTAAAGGTCACTGAGCACTTACTCTGTGCCATACCCTGCGATAATTCCCGACAGCCCTGTAAGGCAGGTAGCAGGACTGATCCTGCTTACAGATAAGAAAACTGGGGCACAGAGAGGTTAAATAACTTGCTTAAGGTTACACAGTAAGTGGTGTATTCAGGACTGGAGTTCTAAGAACTCTTCCTACTCTTGAAACCTGGGACTGGAACAGACATTGTCACCCACTTTCATGAGGAATGAAATCCGGCACCTACCTGTGCACAGCAGAATCTTGCCCTGAGTCAGATACTTGACAGTTTCTGACGTTTTTCTGAGACACTCCTCAGAAAGATAGGGTGGATCCGCTATTACGAGGTCAAAACTGTGTGCGGTGATTTTCTTGGGTAAATCCAATGAATTATTATAATCGTAAAAGATAAACTCCTCTCCGTAGATGGCAAATCTTTTGTCGTATTCAAAGATGTACACCGCAAGGTCCTCTCTGTGCAGCTCTCTCAGTTTCTGGTAGATGCTGGGTGCACTCACACAAGCTATCCTAAATCAGAGCGTAAACAAAATCATGAAAGGGCTTTATGCTCACGATATTGAGTAACAAGTACGTCACTGAAAAATTAGGGCCCTGTGTTCAGATTTAAGGAGGTCTGGTGGCGCAGTGCCTAAGGCACTTGACTGCTAACCGGAAGGTTGGCAGTTCAAACCCAGCAGCCACTCTGGAAGGAAGACTGTGCAATCAATCTACTTCCGTTAAGATTTACGACCTTGGAAACCCAATGGGGGTCGCTATGAGTCAGAATTGATGCAAAGGCAGTGGGTTTGGTTTGGTTTGGTGTTCAGATTTACACTTCAATTTTCTTAAAGGAAAAAACTGGAAACTGATAGGAGTCAATTTCAAGAAAAACTTGGTAGTGCCTCACTTTTAAGGAATTTGGTGTTTAAAATCCTGTAACTTGGGATATCAAGCTCAACTGACATGACATACTACACAAAAACATTGTTCCATATCCTACTTTGGCGAGTATCAACTGGGATCTTAAAAGCTTGCAAGCAGCCATCTAGACGCAATAATGAGTCTCTCCTCTTCCAGAGCAAAGAAGAATGAAGAAAACCTAAAGATGCCTATGGAAACAATTAATCCAAGGGACTGGTACACCATGTGATCCTCAGCCTATAGACTATGAAATCAGAAGAACTAGATGGTGCCAGGCTACCACTGTCAACCACTTGGAGGGGGATCTATGTAGGAGATCCTTGAAAGAGAAGGAAAACAATGTGGAACAAAACTCAAAATCATTAAAAAAAAAAAAAAAAGGGACCATGTTTGCTGGTCTGATGGAACCTGGTGGAACCTCTGAGACTACGGCCCCTAGCTGCCCTTCAGGTCTGGAATTGAACTCACTCCTGTAGCTTCCAGCCAAACAAAAGACAGGCATATGAACTAAACATTTACATTAGATAGATACACTCCTTGGAGAGATCAATCATGGGAGAATAGAGGGGCTTTGTATGCACAGGGAGACAGCTGGGGGGGGGGGTGCATGGGAGGGAAGGACACAGGGAAGAGGTAACTATGGGGAACAAGTGGGAGGGGAGCTATTGTATTGTGGAAAATTGCAGTAATGAGACACAAAGTGTGTGTGAACTGCTGTATGAAAGTGAATTTGCTCTGTAAACTTTCATCCAAATAACAACAAAAATTAAAAAAAAATCCCTGCAACTCAATTTTGAGTTATGAAAATATAAACACACTTTTTACAGTAAATAAGGTAAAATATCAGGAACATGTTATAACAGAAGTTAGATGTAGACAGCCCAAAGCCTAGATTTACCTGTTATCTTCATTTTTCAAAAAAATATTTATTTTAAATACTTTAAGTCCCGAACTAAGTATTTTGAAGTCCTTTTGCAATATTTATGATCTTGAAAGAAAAACTCCAGGTTTCCAAAAAGACACATTAAAATCGGGTCTCACTGTGTTTACGGTGCTTCAGTGCAGACAAAACCAAACCAAACTCGCTGCCATGAAGTCGATTCCAACTCACAGTGACCCCTACTGGGTTTCCAAGGCTGTAAATCTTTACGGAAGGAGGACACCCTGTGAATTTCTGCTGCTTTCTTGTATAAGGAGATTCAAGAACCTATTTCATTACAGGCAGCTCCCACTTTATGAATGGGTAGTATTCCAGAAGGCTGGCAGTTCACACCCACCAGCCACTCCTCAGAAGGAAGGTTGGGCAACCTACTTCCATAGTGCTGTTATTGTTGTTGTTACATGCCATCGAGTCGGTCCCGACTCATAGCAACCCCTCCTTGGGTTTCCGAGGCAGTATCACTACGGAAGTAGATTGCCCCATCTTCCTTCCCAGGAGTGGCTGGTGGGTTTGAACCGCCAGCCTTCTGGTAAGCAGTCAAGTGACTTAGACACTACTCTACCAGAGCTCCTTAGTGATACTGCCTCGGAACCCAAGGAGGGGTCACTATGAGCAGATATGGCTTGATGGCAGTGAGTTTGTTTGGTTTGAGTGTTCCCAAAATTAACTTTTTAAACCAGTTGCTGAAAAAGCCAGAAGCATCCCTCTAGGATGTTTAATGATTGAAACAGCCCTCCAGTATTGCTAACTGAAAAGTGAAACAGTGCTTTGATGTGTGTAAAGATATGTGCATGTGCACACATAGGCATCTCTGGGCGATGCAAGGCTGGAACCGGCTGCCTGGGAGGGAGCTGGGGGCCTGGAGGCAAGAGTGAATGGGAAACTGACTTTTTTTTCCTCAATTCTCTTTGTCAGTTTTGAATTTTTTAACATGTGCATACGTTAACATTCAAACACATGGTTAATTCTAGAATTAAACTCAGCTTGAAACATGTGAGATGCATTTTGTAGCAGAAACAATGTCACACACAGGGGTTAGATGTCCATGTCAGACTACAAAGGCCACTCAGCCCAAATACACTTGAAACATATAATTAAGCCTGTTGCTTTCATGTTACAAGGCTCCAGTTGAGCAGGCTGGGAACACAGCTCTCCTCACTGCCCCTAGCTCCAGGCTGGGTCAAAGGTCCGAGGGGAGGAAGAGGGAGTCGGAGGACGGGGGATGGTACCTTCGGTTACTGAAAGGTAACTACCAGCAATTGAGAACTATGAGTCGGGGCCGACTCGACGGCAAACAACAACAACAACATACACAATGACAATAACTTCCAACAAAGTGGGAGAAATAAAGATATTTTCCGACAAAATCTGAGAGTGTGCCACCAGCAGAATCAAAAATTCTGAAGGATGGACTTCAAACAGCATAAATGTGGTCTGAGACAAAAGAAGGAATGAGATCAGAAAAAGCCAATTAGGTGGGGCCACTGGTTTATTATGCAGTTTGGAATCACAACATCTGAGTTCAAATTCCAGCTCTGTCATTTACTTACTGTGTAACCTCCAGCAAGTGACTTGATTTCTCTAGCTTCAGTGTTCTGTTCTTAAGAACAGAGAGTAGAATAATAAGACCCTCACAGAGACAGGAGGATTAAATGGGGTGACTCGTAAGTACGTGAACAGTACTTGGCACAGTCAGTACTCAATAGATGTTACGTATCATTATTCATCTTTATTACTAAGCTCCTCAAAATACCGAAGGTGCTCTTAAGAAAAAATTACAAATTGCTTCCAAAGCCCTCATATTAACAGGAAAAGGAAAGTATATGCAAAAACAATGCCATGAATAAAAACCCTAGGACTTCCTGTTGAAGATGGCAAATTGAAAACATTGATTTTTGTTGCGTTTGTTTAGACATAAACCTCCAAGAGACAGAGGAGGAGTGAGGAGGCTAAAGAAACAAGATTTAGGAAACTGAAAAGCAAATGTGTGGAGGAGGACACATATTGTATGAGTCCACTATTGTAAAAAGTCAAGGCAAGATTTACACATGGATGGAAATTTTCTTTGTTGGTTATCAGAGATGGAGAGGAGAGGAGGGAAAATTCCTAGAGAGGTTAAATATATATATACATAAACCAAACATTATTTATTAGTGGTTACCAGGTGTAGGAGGGAGAGGAAAGGGGAACCTTTTTTTTTTTTTTTTGGCAGGCCATCAAGTTTATGCTAATGATGGTGGAATATTTTGGAAAATGTGAGCAATAATGGTGGCAGAATATGAAAAATGTCATCAGTGTCCTTGACCTGTAAATGTAGAAGTTGTTATGCTGGTGAAGGTCTTGGTGTAAATGTTTTCACCACAATAAAAGTTAAAAAAAAAAAAAAAAAAGCAAATGTGTGTAGTAATCATCTGTTGTTGTTGTTAGGTGCTGTTGAGTCGTTTCCGACTCATAGCGACCCCATGTACAGCAGAACTAGTAATCGACTAGCAGATCCCAAAGAAGCCAGGTCCTAAACTGGAGTCCAGGAAAGTTTATGTCACAGCACCCCCAGAATCAGGTAACTCAAGAAGTGGAGGTGACCAACAGCCTGAATATTTCTAAGTTGTGTTGAGACCTGATAATTGACTGAAAGATCAGTCCCGGTCACCAAGGGCTGCAGGGACAACTGCTCTGGTGGCCTATGACTAGGAAGGGAAACAGCAAGGAGGGAGACAACCTGAGCTGTAGACTTTCTGCTGTCCGGAGGGTGCAACCATTTTGAATGTTTACAAGTGGTGGCCATTTTGGATATTTAAAGTGACTGAGGGTGCAGCCATTTTGAATGTTTACAAGTGGTGGCCATTATGGATATTTAAAGTGACTGAGGGCGCAGCCATTTTGAATGTTTATAAGTGGCAACCATTTTGGATTTTAAAGTGATAACATTCTCATTCATATCCAGGGGCCTAAGAACAGGCTCTGCTTCCCAGGGTCGGCAAGGACATATGAGAGGCCAACAAAGGAAAGGAGACAGGTGGTGAGTGTATAAGTGCTGTCAACTAGTGAATAGAGGAGCACAGCACAGTACCCTGCCTGTATAGATAACATACAAACAAAACAAAGAAAAAGAAAATTGTGGGCAAGTCACCCCAACATATAATCACCTATTAAATATAAACACAAAAACGTCACAATGCCTCAGAGACAACAGAGCATCACAGTTCACACAAAGAAGCAAGATAAAGCAGGAGAAACAAGGGACCAGGATATAGATGCAAAATACATCCCTGAGGAAGACGCAGCATGAGAACTCCCTGATAAGGAATTCAAAAGAATTATATTTAGGTATCTTCAAAGGATTGAGAGACAGATTGAGGAAAACACAGACAAAACCCTAGAAGAACTCTGGAAGAAAATACAAGAACAAAATGACAAAATAAATGAAAAATTAGAAATGATTCTAAATCTACAGATAGAAATCCAGAAGATTAACACTAAATTGTCA